CTTTCCCTAAAGTCTTTGTCATTAAATAAAAATTCTGATTAGTCATTGGATGCTTTACTTGTTAGTCAGCCTTACTGGTCTTAATAGTTTTAAGTTCAGTCAATTATTATTATTGTTATATCATTATTATATATAATCGTAAACTTGGTCTATTATAAAAGATATTAACGTTGAACATTTTTTATATATTTAGAGTGTTTAATTTTTTACATAAAAATTAATAACCGTTATTAAAAAACAAATTAAAATATAATTAGTCACGTGTTTTATTTTTATTGCAATTTCCATTTTTTTTTATTAAAAAAAAATCTTGAGTATTTAATATTGAACGATCTACCTCTACATTTTTCTACAATTGCTTCTTTCTGTGTTTAAATAATTACTTAGATTATAGATTATTAAGTATGCCAATAAGAAATATGTTCTCATTAATAACGCAAAAAAATGCGCATAAAAAATTAAGGACAGAAAAAAAAACACGTAACTCGAGACTTATATAATATATGTAAATATTCATTATCATCACAATTACTCTTTTTCCTTGTAACACATGAGCAGATATATATCTATGTAAAAAATGGAAATGCTTAAGTTGTATATGCGCGCGATTCTCTTTCTTAAGGACAAATATCGGCAAAAGAGACCTTCTAAAATTCCATAATAAATTCTTTACATACTTATGAAACTTTTTGACATTTTGTCATAACAGTCATGTAATATGAATTTGTATAAACGTGAGAGAGCAATCGCTAAGATGAAAATTTCAAAAAGCTATTCGAGATAATGCCTAACAAAATATAAGAAAGAACGATGGTTAAAAATTCATCTATGAATATAAATATTTGTCGAACATATATCAGACAAAAAACAAAATAATTCGTTAGAGAATACTTAAAAGATTTCTACGTCAAATATACACATATGCTAGGGATAGAATATTATTTTATGATAAGTATGTATTCACATGTAAAAATATATACTTTGGTATATATAATAAAAAAGATAAATCTCAGCGTTCCTCAATATATCTATTTAATTTTTTCTTCCTCTCTCTTTTTATTTTTTCTTTTTTCTTTTCTTTTTTATAAATGCAATCTGTATCAATATTATTAATATTTATTGTAATCCTTAATCATGAAAGATCCCGGCCGCTGATTTTATCGCGATAATGTGATTTTTAATAATTAAGACGACAATCAATATTCCAATAATGCAATATCGAATATCTTTCCTCTCTCGTTATAAAATACAACGATTGTCTGATCTTGAGATCCTTTCATTTCGATTCTCTGGCTGGATTTTTTGTCGCGACCTTCAATCATGAAAAATATCTCATGTCGCTATTCTTATCGCCATGACGCTATTTTAACAATTAATATATCGATAAAATATATATTAATAAATGGAGATTACCATAACTACAAATATATTATTACGGATAAAAATAGCGCAAACTACAACTTCTCTCACCTTATGGCAAAGTTTCCTTGATAATGCGCGAAAATGCTTCATTGCTAGTCAGCGCGCCGAGTTAAAGACGTGATTGTATATCTCCATATCAATGTCAAATACCTTACATAATTCGCGGTGGCATCCCCGA